GGTGATGAGCCCCCCCCCCCCTTGGAAAAAAGGTAAGCCCCCCTTGTGCTAATTCCTGAATACACCCCTGGTGGTAATATATCCTTTTGCTAAATAATTGGAGTAAAAGAGTCTCTTGACTCAATTCTTACCTCAGGTTCTTGAATTTTCCTTCTTCTCTTGAGCCTGGCGATCCTATCCTCTTCTTCCTCCTCCTCCTCGCTCTCCTGATCCCTCTCCCGCATCCTGGCCGCCAGCAACCTCTTCAGCCGAGGGTCAGCTACAGCCTTCATGTCGGTCAGATTATCACCTTCAGGGGACGGACTTCTACTCTCATCATATCGGCCAACATCTCGTTTTCTTTAAAGTAAAATACAATTTAAATCTTTTTTAACGACAACGATAGAAATTAATTTTCAAAAATCTTCCTTAGAAAAATTAATTTGTTAGGCTTAAAATAAATAACTAATGTTTTCAGATTCAATGTTTATCATCATGATTCATGGATTAAATTATAAATATTGCATTTCATGGTGTCTGTAGAGGAATAAATTCGGTTGAGGGGGGATCAGGCTAGTATTTATTTCTTACCATTTTCTAACTACAGAAAAAGGATGTTTAAAATAAAAAACCAACGTTTATAAATATTATCTTACTTTGTAACAAAATCTTCTTCCTCCTCTTCTGATTCTGAATCACTGTATTTTCTTGCATAATCAGGTCTTTTACCGGAGATATATCTGGAAGAAAAAAAAATATAATAAAAATAAATAAGGTATTCTTTCAAAATAATACTTAAATAATAATAATGTATATCGACATATAAATCTGAGACAGTTAAAAATTTCTCTCCAGAAAGTTAGAACTAGAAACTAGAAAAAAAAATTCGCTTCATTCAAAGAGAGTTAACTAGCTTTCCATTCCACCCCAATTGCATTCTAACAAGTGAGGTATATAAAAAATATATATATTTAAAAATGACTAAAATGATTTTCAAAATTTGAGTGGAAGAGAAATTGGACGTCAAGTATACTCCCAATTCAATGAAAACGAATCCCTCATATAGTGGAGAAGGGGAGGGACTAATTTTTCTACGAAATTATACCCTTACAAGTAGTTAATTGTTTACCTTTGAACCTTAACCTTCTGCATAGATATTTCTCCCTTGTCATTTTTGATTGGAACAGCACCAGCTGTTGAGTATATACCAACCTCTCCATAAGCCTAAACGGTAATAAATCTTATTATTATTCAAATCTATGTACATATACAATAATACGATATACATTTTTAACTTTTGTACATTTTAAAATAACGTTGATATCAAAATGCTTGAAATTAATCGATTAAGCTTTCCACTAGTCTAGTGTATAAAAATGAACTTCACAAAAATCCACGCGATAGTAAAAATTTCTGTGATTGGGTTTATTCGGTATCTAATTTTAAAGTAGTTGAAACATAGTAAATACTACAGGGGCCACATTTATTGCATAATGAGAGAAGTAGTTGAACTACTTGACTCACTTCTCGTCAAGTTGAACTGGCCACATAGGAAAGTCCTTTAACCAAGTCGATCTGCTTCTAATAATTAAATCTTGAAATCGAATAAAAATATGTGAACTTGGCTTCGCTCAATAATACAATGTTTCAAGCCTTAAGTTTATTGACTAATTCTAAAAAACTATATAATGTGAATCGTTGGAAAATATCATCCTGGTGAACTTGAATCCCCTTTCCGCCAAGCCGTGAATCGTCCTCCGCCTCATGACAAACATTTTCGTAGACTAAGTTAGTCAAATACATCAGATGTTGTAAACAATAACGCAGAAGTATATCTCATACAGAACGATTTTTGGACCCCCCGCCCATCAATTTTGTACATGACTACTAATTTTCAGCAGAATTATCATTCTTTATTCTTTAATTATTTTAGAGTTCGGTTAGGTTAAGACAATTTATGGGCCGAAAACTGCGGCTAGGACAGGCTAGGGGGCCAAACACCACGCCTAAGGAAGGCTTGGGGGCCGGGCGCTGTGTCCACATGACTAATTTAATCCATGTGTTACATATGAGATACATATACAAAATTGATATGGGGGGGGGCAAAAAGGATTTTTGGACCCCCCCCCCCCGCCTGTCCTAGCCGCAGCGCTCGGCCCAGAAAGCGTCTTAACCTAACCTAACCCTAACTAATGCTAAATAAATACTAATTTGGTTATGTACAAAATTGATAGGAGGGGGGGGGGTCCAAAAATCGTTCATTAGGACGGACCCGCCAAAAATCGTTCTCTGGGAAATTACCAAGTATATTGTATCAACTAAAGCCCCTTAAATTATATTTCTATGGAAAAATGAAGTCTTTATATCGTGCCCGGGCTGAAAAATGATAGGGGCCGAGCGCTTCAAATTACAACTACACAATCCAAACTGATAGTGGGCGTACAAGTATAAAAACTAGGAATATTTGTTCACTATAATTTATTTATTGGCGGACAAAAAAGGTGTTAAGTATGGATTACTAACCTGAGGCCTATTATCAAAATTGTCCATCATCTTGAATCCGGTGCAAATAACTAAATCTGTAAAGTATCAAATAATTTAGCGTCTTTCCGTCAACTAGGAAGATAAAATTCCACGTAGCAAACTTGAATTTTAATTACCCCCACCAACAACTTTATTTAAATTACATTACATGTCATAATGTAATTCCATGAATGAATATTTCTCAGAAATTCTGCAAATTCGGTGATTTTCTGTAAATAAACAAAAAAGTAGATGTAGAAAAAATTCATGACGTTTTGCTTTGAGTGTACACTACACAATTGATAGGTCGTCTTTTATTTTACCAGAGCCCGAATCGTCCCAAAATAAAGGACGTATTCAAAACATACTTTGTATGGCTCCGTTCTCTACCGTGTCTTAGCACATAATTTAATTTAATTTTGTTTTCGCCGAAAGGGATAGTGTTTCAGTTCACCGTACTTCAGACGGCCACGGTCGGAGGAGGAGGAGGAGACGGTCATCTCCGTCATCTGTTTGCAAAAAGTACAGATTCAAGCTCTGGCAGGTATACATGTACACCATTCTGTTATTTCTAGGACGACCTCTACATTTATCAAATAATCTGCTTTGGCAGGGTTACCAACATCATGTTTGGAGGCATGGTTCCTAACTTGGCGGAGGGGGGGATAGATAAAACTCCTAAGAATGCGCGAATACCGGATAATATTTCTTTAATGCTCTCTCTCTATGACAGCTTGCCATGACAGCTTGTTTCTAAAGATAGTACGGGTTAAGGATGGATGTTGAAAAGGATGGATACGAATGTTATTAATTTGATATAAG